ATATATATATATATATATTCCGTTCGAAATTTGATTTCCGGAAAATCAAATTCCGAACGGAAACAATAATCAGTTCCATATGAGTAAATAATTTGGGAGGGGGCTCTGTTTTGGTTTTTTTTGTAAAAAAAAATTATATTAGTAAAAATTTTTCAAAATGTAGACTAAGCACTTTTGTGACTTTAGAATCCTTTTAATAATTCTCAATTTTATAAAACATTGTCTACTTCCTATAAGTATATGTGAGCATGAATAATTCACGAATCTAAATTAACTCGAACGGATTATATATTTTTTATCCATAATCCAATCCAACCTGATCACATATAAGAATAATAACAAAATCACTTTTAAACTCTTCCAACTAAAATCTAACCATGTACTTATCATTGGCGATACAATCATGTGCATGTAAAAAAGCCCGTCTTGAACAGGTTAGTTAAGTTCTTGTTTTCTTCGTGTACAGTATACTGTAACTGAATATGATATTTGGGTTGTTTTAACAGTCAGCAGAGCTTAACAGTGCTTGTTGCTTGAACTGCATACTGTTTAAGCTACAAATAAGGCTATTCACAACCATCGGAGATAAACTCAACAGAGAAGTTAAATTCTGTAGGTTGTAGAAAGCACACAGGCAACCACCTCTCATTTTGGCAATGAAAGCGTAACATTTTTCCAGTAGTAGGGAACACTATTTTTGGACCAAGAAAGAGACTACAAAACAAGGAGAAACAACAAAGACAAGTCCAACATCTAGTACATAGGCATGGCACCACAAAGGGGTCCCCTCACTCGTGCCATCAGATAAAACCACCTCATTTTCCTTTTCTTGGGGTTTACAAGAGAAATCAATTTGGAGTTTGAAGTTTGAACTAACCACCAAATGATGAGCCTGAACAACTTGTTGCAGCCTTTCAGCAGCACATTGGTTCATCGAGGCCATGCTCTAATTAGTGGCAGATGCGTACCATACTGTTCTTTTTCTTCCTCATGTCCTCTATATCTTTTCGGGTGCAAATTGTGTTAGCTGAAAGTCGAACTTCTCCATCCCACCATTAATTAACGGGTACAAATATTTTGGGTAAACATGTAGAAACAGCTGTATGTGGGGAAACTGCACATGAAACTATTGCAGAGCATGCAACTAGGACCTCCACAAAAATGCTAGTTTTCAATAACCTCAGTGCAAAAGAAATTATTTTTATATTATTATTGAATATTAAATGTCAAAACAATCCACAATACAAATACCTGTACCTCACTATTTCTGTATACTTGCAACTAAGGTAATGCTCTATCAGAATTTAGAATCCATTTTACTTGTCCCTTCCAACTTTGCCCCTTAAATAATCTACTTTGGATTTTAAGGGACTAATACAACGGTTGTCTCACCTATGTCCCTCACTTACCTATGCATTTACTGCCATTTTCCCCATGGCTTAATAAACTGCACTAAGAAAGGTGTCTTAAGATATTCATTTAGTATGCTAATGGTTCTGCAATGGAAAGCCTTCTGTTCCAAACCATACAGGTCAAGTTGTAATGCAATGAACTAAATCTTTAAATGATTTCTGACTGTAGCATTGGGAAGAAAGCCCAACTGTTGCTTGATCTACCTTCCTTACCAACAATCTTCTTGTTAGTCCACCATTCGGAGCTATTGGTAGGATTATCAGAAACAACACCTTTTCTGTTGTCAAAGTTAAATTCTTTGGAAGAATTAAAAGAGTGATGCCTTCGACAGCACTGCTCCTCTCCTTCTCCAGGAGAATTGCTAGGCTTATCATTTGAATTTTTCCTTGAACACAAATCGCAACAACTACTGCAGTTCTTTTGTATCCATTCTCTGTCAACAGGGTCTTCAGCCAGTGTACCCTGAGAAGACCCTGACATGTTTCCATGCAATGAAGACCCTGATTTATTTGCAAGACATCGTGCAACATCCTCCCCAGTTAATTCGAATGAAACTCTGTGATTGACTAATGCTGCATTTGGTTGACATTCATTCTCTGAATTCGCAACAGATATCTGTTTTCCAACATAGATGTCATTTCTAGCAGGTGGCGCCATACCATCTGGTGTCAAAGACCCAGAACCCAACCTTGAGTCTTGACACAAACCATCAGGTGTCAAACACCCAGAGCCTGGTTGCGAAGCTAACTTATTAGCATCAGGTGTCAAAGATCCTGAGCCAAGTCTTGAACCTTGACCTGCACTGTCTGGTGTCAAAGATCCAGATCCAAGCCTTGAATTCCATTTACGTGTCAAGAAGTGTTCAAATCCCAAGAGCTTTGATGCTTCCCCTTTGTGGAATTCAAGAACTGGGTGTCTGTCAGGGAAAGGAGTAGAACTGCCAGAAGTGGAAATGATTGATCCAGGTGATATGAGTTGAGTGCCAGGACTTCCTGGATACTGTTGGTATAGCTGAAACTCGTAATTGGATAATGGAAACTTCTGATTTGTACCGTTATTTTTACAATCCCGGTCTAGAGAAGATGCCAACAATTGAGCAAATGGCACCTCAGGGGATGAAGGTGTAGTCAGCTGCAAAGATTCAGGAGGTGGAGTGAAAGGAGTAGATGGTTCAGTTGTGAAGTTAGAAAATACAGGTGGTGAGACTAACTGGGTCTCATAGGCATAAGGGCCTATGGCAAAAATGGATGAAGGTCCACCAGAAGCACTGACGGTGAGAGAACTGAGAGAGAATAATCCAACAGGTGATTGTGTAGCAGATGGAGGATCAGACTGGAGAAAAGATGCAGGTGAAGAGGGAGGGACAATGAATGGCATTACAATGGCAGTTGAAGGATTTGGTGCAACAGTAGCAGGATGAGATCCAACTGGGACTATTGGCTCAACAGGTTCAGGAACAAGGACAGCGTTGCTAATTCTCTTGCTGTTTTTATGAGGTCCAAAACACCAATATAAGCTCCAGCAGCTTCCCCAACGTTTTTTCTGCAGTTAATGAAGAAACAAAATTAGAAGTTGAAACCAAATAAAAACACTAATTCATTTGTCAATAGGATAATGTAATCTAAATTTTTAAACAGGGCTAAGATACATTCTTTTGCTGTTAAATGTTGATTTTTTTCATTAAACATCGAGTTTGAAAAACTTGTATCGTTCCAAGTTAAATGATCCTTTCATGAAAGGTCTTTCCTTTAAATATAGACCCTAGGTGAAATGACTCCAATCCATTGCAAGTTAAAGAAGAGTTTTTTTTTTTTATAAAAAAAGGATACTTTAGAAACACAATTAAAAATAGTACCTAAATAACAAAAGAGAAGACATTGCACAGATAAAGAAATATCAAAAAAAAAAAAATAATTTTATGATAGCAAACCAACATACACTAGAGTAATCTAAAACTTGTCACAATGTCACCTTCTACACATTGCTATAGTACCTAAATGCATATCACTAAAACATTGTAAGAAAAACCATGGGAATATGTTCTTTTCCCTATGTCCGTCAAAGTATCAAGCATATTGACTAATAAATACCAGGCATTGCATATACACCAGTATCAAAGGATCAATAAGCATCCCAAACCCAGGTGTGAACAACCATCTTCTGACAGTATATCAGTAAAACATCAGCAGATGTTAGAAGGAAAAAGGGATAAATAGCACGGGGAAAAGCATGGCTTGAAGCCTTGAATAAAAAGAACATCCCCATATCAGCCAATGACAACCGTAAATTTCATCCCATCCCATTCTGCGATGCTAAATAACCTAAATTCAAACCCATTTTAAAGCACCACAAGGAAGACTATGACTGCCAATTTCAAATATAAACTCAATTCACCTATCTCTATTGGTTTTCCAAACGTAAGTTTCAGAGAACTAACAAGAAACCACAGCCATAAGGCTGAGAAAGCTTACTGGATGTGCATCAAAGGCTTAAACATGTATAGATAGCACATAGCAGTCAGTCCCAAGTAATCACTATTGACCATGGTTTTATAATCTGTCTTAAAATAAAGAACTTGTTTAGATACAAGTTTATAAATGTTTTTAAAATCTTCTCTATCAGAAAATACTCTTTATTTCTAATAAAATGCACTTTTGTATCTAAACATGTTCTAAGTCATATTCATGACACAATCTCCAAAATTAAATTCAAAATCTTCAGCAAAGGCAAGGTAAAAAAAACTCGTGGAAGTAATTTTATACGTTTATACTTTATACTACCAAGTTGCAGATCAAAAGGTCACAGTGTCAAATCAACTTCAAGCAGAGCACAAGTCATAACAATACTAAGTACCAATTGAACTAAACAGAGATACTACAATTATGTAAGATACATGTGGCAAACTAACTAGATTGAGGTCCTCCTCAAACACATTGAAAAACCAAGCTGTTCAAAGTGAAATTAAAGTTACCAGGATTCATAATTAGATGGCAAAAAAGGCACACATTAATATCCTACTTTTTGAGAAGCACAAAGAAAGAAAAAAAAAAACTACAAAACTTAAAAAAAGAAAAAAGGTAAATAAAATTTCGACGCCAGCACCAAGTCAACGAAGACTAAACGTTCCTTCGGTTGATTCACCAGTATGGAAATTGGAAAGTGAAAAAAGAGAACACAAAGCCCAAGATCTCAATTTGCACGCCATTTCTCGGTAACCGAACTAGGCAGAAAAATGAAACGCGAAACAAAACAAATTAGCAACGTGCACTTAATACACAGGATGCACGTGTGAGGAGAATAGTAAGAGAGAGAGAGACCGGCACGGTGGTGGTGGGTTGGATTCTGGATTCGGCGTTGACGATGGCGGAGGCGGCGGCATTGACGGTGTCGACGGTGTTGATAAGGGTTCCCATGGGAAATGGAAGTTCCGGCGAAGGGGTTTTGGAGAAATAAGAAGTAATGTAATGATGCCAATGCCATGGAATGGAACATCCAACTCTCTCTTTCATCGGATCGAATAATGGTTAATGGACACCACGTCCATTCTGCGTCATAAATTCTCCATAAATTAATTCATTTTCATTTTTCACCTATCAAATTCTATTCTCAAATCTCATTTAATTCTAACTCACCACCATTCAGATATACCAGGGACAAAATTTAAACTATTATTTATAATATTTCTTAATTTTAAATTTTTATTAATAGTAATTTTTTATTCATCCAAAATGTATTTTTTTTATATTATTAGTGTATAATTAAAAATTATAATAAATAAATATTTTAAGCATGTAAATTATATATTAAATAATACAAATGATTTTTTTAGTTTCTTTATTGTAAAATGTTATATTATTAAATATTACAGTGACAGGACAATATTAAAATTTAGTAATGACTGATATATTTTTTATTTTAAAATAAATGATCAAAATTACATATTAATAAAAATAAAATATAACTTAATTGTTATTTGTTTTACGTGAAAGAAAGTTGGCCATTGGTGATGATTGAGAATTGAGATAGAGTGAGAATCTTTCTTTATATTTTGAATCTAGGTAGTGGCTAAGTATGAAGAAAAACATCTTAGGTGATGTTTGAAAGAAAAAGAAAATGTCTATCTCCAATCTCCATTAAAATGACAGAAAGGGTCCTTAGGTGAGTGCACGTGTGCAGGTCCACTTGTATTTTTTGTGACAATTAAATAGGAATGGGTTTTCATACTTTGCCCTCGTGTGAGTGTGTGAGATTGTGACCCACCCTTAAAGCATATCCCTTTATTTTTAGCTTCACTTCTTTCTTTCATCTTTATCATCTAATCTTCCCCCACTCCCTTTTCTTCTTCTTTCTTTTCTCTCTATCTCTAAACTCAATATTTACTACAAGCAGCAACTTTTACTAACATAATCTCCGACGTCAAAAAGGTTATGGACTATAATTCAACTTATCATATTATATATTCATGCATATGATTAGCCTCAAGTTATCATCGGTAAATAGACAGATGAAAAGGTGTTTAAAAGAAAAGGAATGATCTCTTAAGTTCCTGTGTTTTTTTTTTTTTGTTCTTCACTTTTATCTATGATTTTATGAGATTTTTTTATTTTTAGTTTTGTGAAATTATGATAAACTTTTATTTGATACGTCATTTCATACTTGTAATTAAACAGTGTACAAATAAAATAATTTGAACATATATAACTACCTACATGCTTAATCAATATTATATGTGTAAATATAAAAGTAATATGAATTATTATGTGTATATAGTGACTATTTTTTAATATTAAAATAATATTTGATTAATAAAAAATATATTTTGTATATAACATAAATTAATTCTTAATTATTAATTTTAAAACACTATGTGAATCATGTTTAAGATAATATATATATATATATATATTAAAATTTATATTAACAGAAATTTCTTATTATTTAATTTTATAGTTTTTTATTCTAGTAATGTATGATCATTACGTTTTTATAAAATACAGAGAATAAAATTAAAATATAAGAAACCATAGAAAATTTTAGGTTAATTGTTTGTCCATCCCTTCTAATAATAACTTTTTGACCTCTTTCTGATATATTTTTTTGTTTTCACATAAAGATGGGGAGTAATAAATTCCATTTTATATGCTTCACTTTATAGATTTGCTTTTGAAGTGATAAAAGGAAGAGAAAGGAAGGAAAAAGATGAAGAGGAAAAGCTACCTTTATTCACTAAGCGGTTTCGCTGATTCGTGGGTCCGTTAGGAGATGGAAACTACCCATTACTCCACGAAATGCTTCTCGTATAATGTGATTGCACTATCTAAAGCTGTGAAAATGGACCGAGGCTTGTGAGCTAATTTGGTCCACCTCAAAAATGAGTTAGATTAGATAAAAAATAAATAAAAAATTTATAGTAAGTAGGTATATTTAAATTCGGCTCATTTTTATCCGGCTCACCACGGGTCAGCCCGGGTAGGTCGAGCAGCCCACCAATTTTTTTTCTTGTAATGAAAATTTAATTATGATTTGTAGTTAATTTTGTATGATAGGATATTAAAAAAAATTATTTTGAACTTTTATCATAATTTGTATTTAAGTTTGTATGATGAGTTATGACTTATGACTATTAATAATGTTAATTTTATGACTATTATGTTAATTTATAATTAATTTTAAATTTTAAATTTTGTTGATAATATTTTAAAATTTTTGGTAAGTTGGCTCGTATAACCCACCAACTCGTGGTGGGCTGGGTCGGGTCATAAAAATTTTGAAAAAATTAAAAGTGGGCAAGACTGGGTTGACCCGGTTTTAAAATAGGTCAAGGTGAGTCATCTCACATGGCCGAACTGACCCGTTTTGACAGCTCTAGGCTTCTATAAAAGTTAAGTTCCTTCGAAAGTTAACCAAATATCAAAACTTGTTGTAATAAGTAATTCAATGATTGTATTTTTTTAACTAAGGAATGAGTTTAATTTTTATATATATATAAAATCATGTCTACAAGTATTATTTTAGTTTTGGTAGAAGAGGATTATGTCTCCTAATTGTTAAAAAAAAAAGGTTATAATTTGGTAATGGTTCATCTAAACATTTGAATATGCCAAAGAAAACCATTCTAGGCAATGGAGAATTAAATATTTGTTTCTACAATCAATATCGGTCCTTTAATGCACGTAGGCTTTTTGCCATCATTATATAAACACACGTGCATAATTAATAAGATTAAGTTAATGGGTATAAAGTAAAGATCACTATTAAAAAAATTAAATTAAAAGAATAAGATATGACTTAATATAAAAGACTAAGTCAATCAAATTAAATTAAGTAAAATATTTTTTATTTAATAAAACTAAAATAATTTTTAAAATTTAATTAAATAAATATATTATTTTGAAATATAAAATGGTATATACAAGAAGTGTTATAGAGTAATAGATTTGACATACATGAACCTAAATCCTCTATTAGAATGTATATGGAGTTTCTTTAGATATAGGCTAAAAGTATTATTTTTATTAAAAAATTTCAAAAATACTTTTGGTAGGTCGAGCAGCCCACCAATTTTTTTTCTTGTAATGAAAATTTAATTATGATTTGTAGTTAATTTTGTATGATAGGATATTAAAAAAAATTATTTTGAACTTTTATCATAATTTGTATTTAAGTTTGTATGATGAGTTATGACTTATGACTATTAATAATGTTAATTTTATGACTATTATGTTAATTTATAATTAATTTTAAATTTTAAATTTTGTTGATAATATTTTAAAATTTTTGGTAAGTTGGCTCGTATAACCCACCAACTCGTGGTGGGCTGGGTCGGGTCATAAAAATTTTGAAAAAATTAAAAGTGGGCAAGACTGGGTTGACCCGGTTTTAAAATAGGTCAAGGTGAGTCATCTCACATGGCCGAACTGACCCGTTTTGACAGCTCTAGGCTTCTATAAAAGTTAAGTTCCTTCGAAAGTTAACCAAATATCAAAACTTGTTGTAATAAGTAATTCAATGATTGTATTTTTTTAACTAAGGAATGAGTTTAATTTTTATATATATATAAAATCATGTCTACAAGTATTATTTTAGTTTTGGTAGAAGAGGATTATGTCTCCTAATTGTTAAAAAAAAAAGGTTATAATTTGGTAATGGTTCATCTAAACATTTGAATATGCCAAAGAAAACCATTCTAGGCAATGGAGAATTAAATATTTGTTTCTACAATCAATATCGGTCCTTTAATGCACGTAGGCTTTTTGCCATCATTATATAAACACACGTGCATAATTAATAAGATTAAGTTAATGGGTATAAAGTAAAGATCACTATTAAAAAAATTAAATTAAAAGAATAAGATATGACTTAATATAAAAGACTAAGTCAATCAAATTAAATTAAGTAAAATATTTTTTATTTAATAAAACTAAAATAATTTTTAAAATTTAATTAAATAAATATATTATTTTGAAATATAAAATGGTATATACAAGAAGTGTTATAGAGTAATAGATTTGACATACATGAACCTAAATCCTCTATTAGAATGTATATGGAGTTTCTTTAGATATAGGCTAAAAGTATTATTTTTATTAAAAAATTTCAAAAATACTTTTATGTTGGTATTCAAACAAACTTACTTATATATATATATATATACTATATAACACCTCTGCATTGTATAGGTATATATATAAATGAATTATTATTAATTAATATATCTATTTTATTGCTTATATATATAATTAAAAAAATTGATTTTGTTATAAAATAATGTGATGTAAGTACTTTATGTGTTTTCTTTATGAAATGATTAATTTAATTAATATAAATAAATATTTATGAGTTAATATAAATAATCTAAAATATCACATAAGAAGTAATTTATTGTATAACTTTTAATTAAGAAAATAATGTGTTTCAAAAAATTTATTTAGATTTATATATAGATGGGAATATAACAAATAATAAATGAATAATTTGTCTAAACAATGTTTTTAGACACCAATATAATTTCTTGATTGGTAAAATAGTTGGAGTATTTAAATATTGGAATCTTATATCAAACATCTAAAGAATTTTTCTTTTCCATCAATATTTTTAGAATTAGAGAAACAGAAAGAAAGAGTTATTTGGAGAAAAGTTCGTTGTTATTAATCATTCATTTAAAAAATGTTGAAATATTATTGTTATCAATCTCCGTTTTTATTTAATAACAAACTTGTGTTAAAACCTTCCCACATCCCACTCTTAAAGCGACATGATATATGAAAATATAACAATATGAAAACAACTTAAATGATTGCAATTATTTTTTGAGAAGTTCAAAAACATAGTCTATAATACTTCATTTTTCAAAAGATAGATATCTAGGTTGGACATTCCGGATTTTGCAAAATCACCCTTTTTGTAAAGTTTCTCCCCAACATCACCCAAAACATAAAATACTTCATTCTTTCTTGATTGTTCTTTCCATCTTCCTCAACTAACATTCCATGTATCCATAATTTTCCAGCTCCCGTCGTTAAACCCTTCAGTTTTCTCACACACCGTATGTTTACCCTAAACTGTGTATATATAAGGAATTTCCCCACCACATGTGAAAACAATTTCAAATTCAAAATTTAAATCTCACCGCATGCATACAGTACAATGTACATACACTTTCTTTATCCAAAAAAATTCCATTATGGTGGTCCAAAATGGGAATTGTAGATTTGCAACCATATCCTATGCTTTCCCTTATGTAATTTTGGTTTGTAGAAGCAACAAAAGTTATTCACCTACGGCTACTTGGTCTGGGGACCAAACAACACTAAACTTCCCATTTTGCATGTCAACCAAAATGTAAACAGCGATACAGAAAATCAAACAAGTAAAAACCACTTTTTTTATGTTTAAAATTTAAATCCAAAGTGTCTGCTGAGGAGGCATAATGCATATGGGGAAGCATAAAATCCAATTGGGTAGACCCATTTGTTTTCACATGTTTAACGATTTGAACTTGGATTTGTGAAGATCCTCTTTTTTTTCTTTCCAACAAAAAACACAGTTAATAATTTTTTTAATGTAATATGCTATAAATGGTTCACTTGTAAAAGTTGATTTTTGGTTGGGTTGTTACTGTAATTACACGTGTTAAATCGTTAAAATTTATTTTATTTAATAACTTTAATTTTATATTAAATTTTAACAATTTAATTATTAAATTAAAGTTTCTTAATACATAGATCAAGTTTACAAATTTTAAAAAAATATTTAATATTTTATTTTATTAATCAAACTGAAGAATGAAAATAAAAATATTTTATACATTGATTTGAATTAATGAAATGGTGTAGCAATTACTTTTAAATTTTTTTATAAAATTTTATAGACTTGATATATGTATTAAAAATATTTAACTTAATAATTAAATCGTTGAGATTTATATAGAAATTAAATTATTAAATAAAATAAATTTAAGTAAATTTACTCTATAAGTAAATAGATCTTTTCTCAAATATATATATATATATATATATATATTAATTATTATTTTCCTCTTATTATTTCATAAGGTTTGAAAAATTGTTGAAACACATCAAACGATCATTCAACGTGAAAATTCTAATTTTTTCCTTCTCTATTTAATGTTTTAGGACAAGTAAATTGTAATCTGAGATGCTTCAAATGGATTCTCAAACATGCTAATAATCTATCTCTTAAAAAAAAAATCCTTTCATTATTTTTTCCTTTTCAATATTTGTTTCTACATTTATTTTGTGTGTTAGAGAAGAGAATAAGATTTAATTTAGAAAATGAGGATGAAGAAAGATAAATCATCCGCTAACGAGATTTAGTTTAATTAATTAAACTGCATATAAGTTATTGTAAGATAAATCCTATACCAAAGAGATTTAATTTAATTAGTTGAACAATATATAAGTTATTATAGTTTTTATATTATCAAATTTCATTAGATATGTGTGTGTCAAATTTGGAAATAATATATACACATTAGATATAACATAATGCAAAATCAAATGCACTTTCACACATTTATAATGATTGCGTTTAGGTTTTGCGTAATCCAACAAAAAAAATTTTGTATGGTTTATGTTTAAGAATATTACATATTCATAATTCTTGGCAATTTTTGTATGGCAGGTAGTCATACATTTTAATTTGCTTAAGTTGATAAAAATTAATTGTATGTGATATTAAGATTAATTAATCAACATTCATTGATTCAATTAGTGTTATTATTAGTCATTAAGTCTTAATGTTTTGAGTTTGAATTTTAGATTTGATAAAAAAATAATGTTGAAAGAGATAATCTTAATATAATCAAAATTTTGAAAGAGATTAATCCAAATGAAGCTTGAAGATACTCTCATTAATTCCATAGTAAAAAAGAAATATTAAGATTGAGCAAAATAATCATAAAATAATTTCTCTTACCCAGTGATCTTGGATATTTTTGTTTGTCATGCTTATTCTGTAACATATTCAATTATTGTTTATTTGGTCTTATGAGCATCACCTTTGATCAGTTGATGTATCAAAAAACTGCGCAAATCGGAAGTGATGGGCCTTCAAAGCCATGTTTAGCAGCCCAATCTTCAGCGTGGATCAGGTTGAGAAGACATGTTCGCCCATAAGGCCCAAGACTGCGTTGAGTCATAGTAAAAAAGAAGGTTAAAAACCTCTTTTGGTCCTTGATAATATATATTTTTTTAATTTAGTCTCACTTTAATTTTAGGTCTCAATTTGGTCTCTAATAATTTAAATCATTGCAATTTGAAACTTCCGTCTAAATGATTTAAACGGGATTAACTCTTGCTGACGTGGATGTTAGGTAGATACATAGGTGGATGTCAAATGTCATGAATACACCTGGAACCAGAACGGCCCGTTTTGAAACCAGAACAGCCCGTTCTGAATGCACATATTATGTGTTAATTTTACAACTGGAATACGCCGTTCCAAATGCAAATTTAACACAACATGAGTGCAGCAGAACGGCCCGTTCTGGTTTCAGAACGGGTCGTTCTGCTGTTAGAACAGACCGTTCTGCATTCAGAATGGCCCGTTCTAGAACGTCAATTTCATGCTTTTTATTGTATTTTTTTTATTATATCTATATTAATAAAAATATAATAAATAAAAAATACAATAAAATAATATTCATTTGTGAATAAAATTAAAAAAAAAATCAAATAAGATAAGACCTTCCAAAATCCTTATTTGATTTGAACTTATCCAGTTCAAAATCTTGACTAAAATGGCGCAATGTGATTCAAAAATTGAAAATAAAAATTCATAATATACCATAAATTCAAAGACAGAAACATGGTTCAGAAATTGAAAACAAAAATTCAGAACATAACATATACTAAAAAAGTTCAAAGAAATTATTGAGAAAGGAAATCATCTGGGTAACGCTAAAGGAAAACCCTAAACCACAAAAATTCAGGTTGTACCTCCTCAAGAACATGTTGTTATTGTTGGGGTACATCGTTAATGACTTCAAGGGGAAACACCGTTTCGTTTCATCCTTGACTGTATAGCCCAAATGTTTAGTAATTGAAGTTATCAATCCCCATTAACAATATTACCAAATCTAGTATTTGAAATGCTTGTACTTTGATTTTTTTTTCACGAAAATCTGGAACCAGAACGAGCCGTTCTGGTTCCAGGTGTATTCAAGTATTTTGGGATCCACCTACGTAGCATTTACGTGGCATCCACGTGGTCACCAGTTAACTCCGTTTAAATCATTTAGACGGAAGTCCCAAATTACATTGATTTAAATTATTGAGGACCAAATTGAGACCTAAAATTAAAGTGAGACTAAATTAAAAAATATATATATTATAAGGAATCAAAAGAGGTATCTAACAAAAAAAAAAAAGAAGAACTATTTGATTAAAATTATTAAAAAGAAAATTGTAAATAGTATCCTCTGACATTTGATTGGAGTATTATTTGCTGACATTTATAAATAAAAAAATCACAAATTAGCATGCGTGTTTGTTTTGGAAATTAAAACATTAGTTGCGAGCAAGTTTTGTGAGAAAAACATTTTTCCTTTTTCTCTTAAAGACTCAATTTTAAATGACATAATTTAGTTTAAAAGTATTTTATTTTAGTCAGAAAAAGTTGCGAATGTCAAGATTTAGCTAAATATAAACACTTAAATTTTATCTTCTAGCTAATTTAAATATATAATTGAATAATATAAATTATATTTTTGAATGAAACTATACTTTGCCAATCAAAATTGTCTTGTAAATGCAATTTTATTTAATCTTTCATTTGACTTGCTCTTGCATTTTCTACTTATATACACACACCCGTAAAAGAAAAACTAACATCGAATATCAAATTTAATCCCTGTATAATTTTAACATTCTATAAATTCTAAATTTTGTTAATCTAACTACTATATTGAAATTTCCCATGAAGTAAATTAAGGACGTATTTAGATAAATAAATTAATTTAATACTAATAGAATATTATTCGTCATTTTTTTTTCTTCTCGTAAGTTCAATTTTGAAACTTATTAAAATAAATTAAAACAATTAAGATTGTCATAAGTTACTTTTATGAGTTCAAATAAAATTTTCCAAACACTTCTTTCATATACATCACACCCACATATATAATTTTCAAACTTTTCCAAAATTATAGAGAAAGAAGGTAGAATATTTTTTTTTCAAATAGTTAATAAATATTTATTTAAAAAATTATACTACTATTTGTAAATATATGTAAGATATAAAATAATATTCTATTAATGAAAAACAAGTATAGAGAAAAAGTAATTTTAAGAAAATGGTAAATTGTGATAACAAAGAAAAATTTAAAAAAATAAAAGAATTTTTTATTAAAAAATTAAGATGTACAAAGACTTTTAAGTTTTTCAATTTTTAAATATTATAACTAATTTAGTTATAAGATATTATTTCAATAATAATTGATAAACGTTGATGGAAAAATTAAGCCTTGATCAGATTAATTGAAGAGATGAAATATTTTCTTTAATTAAAGATAAAAAAAACTAATAATTTAATTAATATAAAAGTTTATAACTCCCTGTATTAAAATGAAGAAAGACATGTTATTAAATGATAAAGAAAATACATTTTGACTTGATTTTCTTTTTGAAATAAAAACCAAATTTACAATATAAAAAACGAATATTTTCTTAAATCCTTGCAGCAAAAATAAGATAATCTTCTTTACATAGACAAGATTTTAGGAAAAAGTAGAAGAAAATCTCCAAATTAATAAGCTCAATTGATAACACTGAGTGTGAGAAATTTTATGAATTCATGCAGCGAAAATTAGATATTTTTCATTACAAAGACAAGATTTTGGGAAAATTAGAAAGAAAACCCCCAAATTGATAAACCCCAGTTGATAACAAGAACACTTTTGATTTGACCATTGAATTGGAGATAGGATTGTTTGTGCGGGCCAAGGTTGAGGCATTCATCTTTCCATATTCATCAAAGTCTTCAAAAAAAAAAAAAATTACACTGTCTTAGAAATGACACGATCCTTGGCAATGGCTTCTTCATCAATGTTATGTCCGAGGCTGGGGAATTGTGCAGTGTCACCATCCTCTTCTATTACTTCACATACAAAAATCCAATCTTTTCAGCTCTCTCCAATGTTCTCTCCACTGGGTCGAGGCCTTTTCTCACCTTGGAGTGGTTTAAAGCATCTGGGCATCTCAACTAGACCAAAGCCCCTTTTTCCCATAGGTAACTAAACAATCAATGTCTCGTTTAGGTCTTTTTGCTCATTTTGGATTTTCATGGTTGAGCTCATTATGGTCGTTTGCAGATAGAAAGGGAGGGTGTAAGGGTAAAGTGGTTTATGCTTCTCTCTTTGGAGTTGGAGCCCCTGAAGCTCTGGTCATTGGGGTCGTTGCTTTGTTGGTTTTTGGTCCTAAAGGTCTTGCTGAGGTGAGTTTGATTGATGTGTGTCTATGCAACTCTTGCTCTATGTCATTCTTGTGTTCAAAGAATTTTGCATGCCTTTTGCGTAGGCTATTGTCGAGATAAAAACACTTTGCAACCACGATTTTGGTCGAAATGTCCAGGTTTCTAGGGTTTCTGTGACTACATCAACCACATTTGTCTGCAATTTTCTACAAATAGCGAGAATCGTGACAAAACTGCGACCACAACAATAATTTAAAACCATGATTCTCGTTTGATGTGTTTTGCAGTATGCCAACTTGTAAAAAGTATGACTATTATGATTAAGTAAATTTTTTAAATGAATTTCTATCATCTTATTTTTTATGTTAATTATTTCTTATTGTTATGGAATTAGTGTGGTTCTAATTGCTTCAGCTGTTGAATGGATGCTGAAGAATAGTTTTAATAAAGGCTTGGAGGGTGGATAAACTAAAAGCTGTCTAGAATGGTTTTAAACACATCAAGCTCATATCTTTACTTGAAATAGACGTTGGAAAGTCTACCAATTTTAGAGTGTCTAAACTCCAAACTGACAAAACATTAATAGTTAGTGAACTTCTGAAAGAAGTTTTTCTTTGGCTTATCAAATGTCGATACTCTGAATCAACACAGACAGAAACATTGATTATTTTTCTAGTTGATTATTTTTATATCAAAGTTGCATTCTTGTGCTAGAGAAATAATAATATATTGGTAACTTTTGTTCAGACTAGTACATTGATATTTACTGCTTCTGTGGTTTACACAAGAGTTTCTTACGTAGGTTTAAGTGATCAAGAATCAACCCTCCAGTTATTTAGGAATTTGTCTTGTTATATACTACATATTAATTCTTAAGTACAAGAGCTAAACCTCAAAGAAGCCAAATATTAGCTAGATGGTGATGGAAATAATCACCTGTAACATTCATCTAATCTGCTTGAAGTTAATGTTTTTCACGTTTATATTTGAATCAAACTACTTAATTTCTTTTTCTTATCATTGAGCATCAGAGAAAGGGGATGCATGATTACGAACCTGCTCTAGTTTTTTATTCATCTTAAACATCATTCAGTTGAACTAATGGGAGATAGATGTACTTAAGCTCAATCTTTGTTGATAATATTTATAACACATGTTCTGCAATGCAGATAGCCAAAAGTTTTTTTTTTCAAAAGTAGTTCATCATTGTGAATACAATAGCATATAGAGGACTTGAAGAATCCTGTAGTCTCGTGTTTTGTAATTGGAGGTTAACATTGGCCACTGCACCATACCTATCAATTAAAACGTGCACAAAGTTGATAATAATTGAGCTATCTGTCGGCGTCTGTGGTGCCCTTGTTTCTTGAATAAAAAGTGTCCAAGTTACTAATCAGTAGAAAGGGGTTTACATAAGTAGAATAGTCAAGAAATGCATGACAGTACTATTCCAGATGATGATATTTCCCAAGGTCCGACATTCCTTTGTCCAAGTTACTGGAGATGTCTACACCTTTGTGTTTTGACTTTATGGGACAGAACAGGCATCCTTCTCATGTAGTTAACAAGAACTGTGGAGTTTACAATAAAAGATAATATGTTGCACCACATACTTGCCTTGCTTGAGAAAATTTCACAGGAAAGCTGTTTAAGTTCCCTGCCACTCAAGTTACAAAAATTGTCTACATTTGAATACATATTTGAATGAAATTAACTTCAGACAGTTGGAGTTCTGTTATTCACTGGAGAGGCACTCTGAGCCTTATGAGATACATTATTTATGATATTTTGCAAAATCTTTGTTGTTGTTCGTGATGATGGTGATCTTTTTTCATTTTTTCCTTTTCTTTTCTTGACATCCTGCTCCTTGATTGAGTTCCTGAATGCAGGTTGCTCGAAATCTGGGAAAAACATTGCGTACATTTCAACCCACCATTAGAGAGCTTCAGGTAGGTGATAAATACTTGAGAGCAAATTTTTTATGCCGAATCCACTACATAGATGCTTTGACGTTATTGCTTTCCATTTTCCCTCCTTTAGGATGTTTCAAGGGAATTTAAGAGTACACTTGAACGGGAGATTGGTCTTGATGACAATTTAAGTCCAACCCAGAATCCATACAATTCCAACAATCGCAATAGCACATCAACTTCATCATCCACTGTTGACCCAAGTGAGTAATCCAGTATCACTTATTTATTTATTTATTTAAATTTTACTTGCTATGCAATTTAGAAGTATCAAATCTGGACAGGTTATTTTAACCTTATACAATGTCGGATTTGGTCTAATTGGAGTCCCATCTTATGCATTTGCTATCAATTAAAATCACTTAACTATGACTACAATTATGTTAATCTACCAGATCAGCTATCGAAGGAGATTTTGGAAATTAATAGGAACAAGAAAATATAATTGATGCAAGTGAATAAAAAACCAGAGAACCTGGATGTGCATATTCTGGAATTTTCTTTGAATACAAGAACTGAAATGAAAATTGCAAGAAAAAATAATAAAACTCCACCCACCCTACCTTATGAGAGGCCTACCCCAATTCTTCACTCATTTATCTCACTCCCTGTGTATCCTAGGTGACACTATTCACCTATGCTCTTTCTCCATGAGATTCATGTGACATAGGATGTTAGCTAGTGCTGTTGCTACTCATGTAGCTTCTTCCTAATAGGCGGGTTGCTATCAGCATTCCTCAGTAAAAGGCAAATTACTGTATGCATAGTCTGTTCTTCACAAGAATAAATATTCTTCTCATAAAAGAAAAATGAAAAAAGGGAACTTGCTCTTGCATGCAAAGTGGAACAATTAAATAGCTGAATTGGTATCTGCTCTAGCCTTTGCCAAGGGGCTGTAGCTACAGGGTTCAATCTCTTGCACCCACTTTCCCCATTTCCCTTAGGACCATTAGGAAGCAAAATCATGCAACTAACAGTTCTAAATGAAGAAATCAGATCTTAATAGTTGACAAAATGTTTCAGCAACTTACTGTGGACTGTCAACTTAAAGTTTATATAGCATTTGGGTCCTCCCTTTGTTAACTATAATACTAGATCATTTGAATTGTTAACACAATGATTCCTGAAGTTAGAGCAGCTGTTTTAAACGAATGTGTGTCTGGAAGGTTTATGATTGTCTAGGTAGGTTTGAGATTATCTCCCTTTTAGATTCTTAACGTCAACTTCAGTATAGGTAACACTACTGTAGCACGGTAAAAATAGCTTTCCCTTTAGATTCATGTTAGTCAGTGAGTATAGACAAAGAAGAAGATTAACAGAATCTGTTTGTGAACTTCAGTTAGTCTGCTGATATTTACTTTTGGACTGTCAGATTGCATCTTTTACAAACTTCTGTCACCGCTAGCATGGTCCAAAATGCTGGCACATATAGACTCATTTCTTAGATGGAATATTCACATTTATAGGTTCTCTAATTGATTAGCATTAATCTGGGAGAGCGAACTATTACTCTGTAGTCTGTAGTCCATACAGTAGCTAAATTTTCTTGTTCAAAAATTTCTTTCTGAGAAAAAACTGCACTTTGTTAGTAAGATCCTGCATGTATTTTTTAATAAATATAACTTCCGGGAAGCAAATGAAGCATTGTGATAATCGCATAAACACGGAGAAGAGTTTTGTCAGAAGACGTGTTATGCCAAGTATTAATTCATCGGTTTAGCCACATCACCTGCAATGTTAATAAATGATAATTATTTCTGCCCTTAGTGAAGGCATTCTATCTCATGGTTGCTTTTATAGTATTGTCAAATTGCCAATATACATGCTAGATGTCACATCAGAATTTGATCATATCTCTGATAATGCAGATGGTACGCCGGATCCAATTAAAGCATACAGCTCTGAGGACTATCTTAAGATTACAGAGGAGCAACTTAAGGCATCTGCTGCACAACAGCAAGGGCAAACACCTCCTAAGGAAGGCGAGATTGAACCTCAAATCCAGCCTCCTGGTTAGTATTTTTGTTGGAACTTTTCTTTGTTTTTCTCTCCCTCTTTTCACCCTCCTTTTTCTTCCCTTTACTTGGCTTACTATTGATGTCAACAGCTACTACTGTGCCTCCACCTCAGAAGCCAGAAAGTGAGAATTTGCCTCTGGATTCATAGGGATAGGGAGTTGAAAGTCACTTGTCCAATAGCACTTCAATGCTCGGAATGTGGGCACTACTATTGGCATAAGTTATGGGAATGGTCACGCAATTTTGTAACCGGGTAGTCATTAGAATTATGTAAAAAGTAAAGAAGAAAACCAACACGTATTGTGTTCCTAAATTTGTTGTAGTTAATGATTTATTGATGCTGATTATCTGCCCTCCTTTTACATCAATAAATATGATCATCTGCATTCAGGAATTGCTACGGTACACGTTAGTCGTTTAATTAATGAGTAGCTATGGTTTCTGACAAGTTATCGGGCATTTATTTGCCCAAGGAATTTCCCATTACCCATCAGAACCGTAATTTAACCAGTATGCTTTTGAGCTGTTTTGTTAATAATTCCGACACCTTATTGGCGGTTCTGTTTTGAAATTGATTCATTTTACACAACGTATTACGGTTCAATCTACCGTTTATTACCCTCTAAAAAACCCTCCAGTTTACTAATTCATCAGTTTAGTTTTAGACTTCCAAATGGATAACCTTGCGATTATGCTCCATCATTACCACCGGAAATATACGAATTGAAATTATATTCTAGGCATTCGACAAAATAATACATGAAATGTAGCTAATTTTACAGTAATCCGACGCCGCCTTTTATTCCCCTGGTTAAGCAATGCAATCGCCAATGCTACCCAAAAGAATGAATAGACAAAATGAGAATAATTTTCTTCCCATTTATATTGGCGGGGAAAAAAATTACACAAAAAGTCATGCAACTTTAACCAGTTATGCTACAACATATTCATTTGTCTGTATGAATCAAAATCTAGATAGCTTGCTGCCGCTGGTCCGTGAAACCCGTACATATCCATTACTTTATCATCTGTAGGCAGTACAGAGCCTTCACGTCCCTTGAAACCCTCCATAGGTGAAGCCCAATGGGCTGGTGTAGAAGGGTTTGAGCTAGATGCGTCTTGATTGATGCCGAGCGCAGTTGGGTTCTGCGGGGAATTCCCGGCAGGCCTTCTGTTTGATGCGCTAGGAGTCGTCAAAGAAATGGTTACTGATTGCTGCTGCTGCTGCATTTGTTGCTGGTTCTTCATTGGTGACTTTGGCCTAAGAGCCTCTATATCAGGAGTAGTCACCACCAGATGAGGTGCCTCCGGAGGTGGATTTCTTCCCCCACCTCCCTGCCAAACTTTCCCATCTTTGTCAGCAAAACTTTTCACATATGCCTGAATTTATCCAAATCCAATCAATATGTCAGGTGGGCACAGATAATCAGAGCATCAATAAACGGAGAAAATATCGAGTACAAACTTTTCTATTGGAGCCAACAGATTGTATACCCAACCAAGATAGAATAAAAATCTTAAAGGCTGAAGGAAATAAAAGCAAGATAACAAACGCATTATTATCAGACAGGCTTCAAAAACTTCTATTATCGAACCCCGAGTGTTTGGTCAGAAAGTAGGCTAGAAGAATGCTTAAGATATGAGCTTAAGCATAACGGATAGCATCCAACGACAAAAAACAACGTGGTTAAGTTTATTAAAAAAAATTACTCAGTAATTGGCTACTAGACTCTGGTTAATTAAATGAATGTTTGCTGACCAATTCTGATCTGTATGTTATAATGGTACAACTCCACCTGTGCCACAATGGCAGCTAATGTGGGAGAAAATTTCCCAAGAATTTAATTCTATTAGAACCTTATTTTTTCTTCAACTCTTTCAAATTTGGTGCATGATAAAACCTCATTCTCGGCTACTTCAGACACAGAAAAATGGTATAGGGATAAAGTTTCTGATATGCACCTACCAGCCACTAAGCCAATGTTTTCAATGGGATAGAGCCACGGCCAAAATAACCAAATTAAAAATGGAGGACTAACTGCTCTAATATATTTTCTAGAATTTAGCCTGTGATGAGAAAACTGTTCTCAGAATACATTGTCATAATATCCTACAAGGAACAAAGAAGATGCTGCCAAATTTACTCAACTTCTAAAGAAAGAAAAATACATGAAAGTAGTGTATTAACATAAATTAAAGGGTTGGTTAAAAAAAAAACATAAATTAAAGGGAGATAAGATTCAACTTTGATGTCATATAGGCATACTTATACTAGCATTTCAAATTTCTTACCTCTTTATTAAAATTTGAAGATGACAATTCTTTACCAACAGTAAGCCAACCGGCTCGAATATTATGGTCTTCACCAAACAGTTCTAGTCTCCTCCTTCCAAGGGCAAAGTGCTCAATAATCCTATACATATCTTCAGGCTTTTGTGTTGAACCTGCAAGATTTAAGCAAGAATTTGAAGATACATTTTATTCTTGGTATGAAAACACAACAATTTTATAACAGCTATAAGAAGCCCAAGCATTTTATATTCTTAATCAGCTTTTACATCATTCTGGTTTTCCAGTTTATGGGTGCATTTGGAAGAACTTATTTGGGCTTATCTTATGACATAAACATGTGTGCAAGTGTGTGGAAAAACTTAAAAAAATAGCTTATGATGTCCATAGGATGTGGGGGGTGTTAGATGAGGAAGTGGATTCAGAAAAATATCCAATGCCGAGTAACAAGAAAAAATGAAGGGCACTGCTTCAAGTGTAATGAGAAATTCGGCCTAAAACATGTATGCAAGTACGAATAATTTAATTTGATGGAGGTGGAGACTGAGGAACCATATGAAGAACAAGGAGAGGAGCTCCAAGATGGCGAGAAAGAGGTTGCGGATAAACCCCTACATCTATCCCTTCAAAGCATCATGGAAATGACATCCAAGAAGACCTTAAAATTATGGGGTCCTTTGAAAGATAAGCAAGTGGTGGTGCATCCAAAAATTTTAATACAGCAGGGTTGGTGCAAAAAGTTGAATTACAAGTAACTGATACTCGTGAATATTGGGTGGAGGTAGGGGATGGATGAGCATAAGATCAAGTGTATAGGGGTTATTATGCAGATACAGGGCAAGCAGATTGTGCCGGAATTCTTTCTATTCAGCTAGGGAGGAACAGTCATGATCCTTGGGCTACATTGGTTGGAAGGGTCGGGGCAAGGGAAATTTGGGTGAATTTTAGAGAGCTAACCATGAAGATTCAGGTGGCAAGTCTAAGTGTCATTCTTAAGGCAGATTCTTCCTTATGTTGATCAGCAGCATCTTTAAAACATGTATAACATCCTACAAGATGAAGGACAAGGGTTCTATGTGGAGTACAATCTTGTGACAAAAATACCAAACGAAGAGCATACAGTGCAGTCTAAACTAGAAGAGGTTTAGCACCTATTTGAAGAGATTCTCTGAAAACACCAGAGGCTGCCACCAAAGAGAAGACATGATCATGCCATTCTATTGAAAGAGGGAGACTCAATTCATACTGTCCAACCCTACAGGTATAAATTTTTAATCACTATAAAACACAATGGGGTTATAAATTTTTAAAATCCCTAAAATGAGCAAATTTTTGTTTTAGCTCTAAATAAATTTCTTTAATTTTCAACCTCCAAAATTTGATATTGCTTTTTTGGTTCCCTTTAAAATAAGCAAATTTTGGTATAGGTCCTAACAAATTTTTTTCTTTGGTTTCCATCCCTTCAAAATTTGAAATCATTGTTTTTATTCCATAGCATTGATTTTGGGACAAATAAATGACATTATTTTAGGAATCAATTTTTTTAGTCACGAGTTGCATGTTGACACAACACATGCACTATTGTGTGCCATTTGGGAATCAGGATGACTACATGATTGAATACATAAGCAGTTTAACTGATGTCATATGACGGTAGGGAAAAAAGTATTGATTTTAGATTTTAAACAGTTGAAAACCAAAAGAAAAACTTATATTGAAACCAAAACCAAAATTTGTTGATTTTACAAAGACCAAAAACATATTTAACCCAAAAAAAAAGGAGATGGTAAAAATTGTGAAGGAAATGTTGAGTGATATAATTATTACACCAAACATCAATCCCAAAAAACACAAGTCAGAGAAAAAGATGGAGGATGGAGATTCTACACTGATTATATAGCCCAAACCAAGGCCAAGGTACCCAACAAATTCCCAATTACAACAATAGATGAATTATTGGATTGTCGGAGGAGCCACTATTTTTTCTTTCAAATCTGGATTTCACCAGATCAGAATGCAGGAGGGAGACATCTACAAAACAGCATTCAGGGGGTGGAGACCATGTGCTAAGGAGACCAATATAACTCACAGTAATGAGTTGAGCAAACAGAGGACAGTGCCCAAAAAATAGTTGAAAACTTGGTTTTTGACTAAACTGTTGTTTCATCCTCATCTATATAGTCAACCACACCTAATGAGTAAATGATTTTATTCTTACCTATTTCATTCTTTTGTAGCTTATACCTATTTCATCTTTAGATTAAATATCAACAATAACAAAAGCATTGTACTAATAAATGAGGACAATAAATATTAAGCCCCATAAAGAGAATAGCACGTGTGTGAGTGTGGAGAGGAAATTAAAGTATTAAGATATTAAGATTGTTTATTTTATCAGCAAAATTGATAATACTAACCATAAGGAGGTTCTTCAGCAATAATGACATCAGTGTCAATATTGGCATGAATTATATGGCCATCAGTACTTCGACGAACAGTTCCTTTTATGCCCATCAAGCAGTGTTCCTTCAACATTAAATAAAAAGTTTAATGAAGGGGTTACATTTACTTAATATCAAAATAACTATATATAAATAAGCTCAGATGTTGAAATGAAGCTGTGCACTGCTTGTACATGAGACAAATTTTAACTTACCTTTGAATGTTGAAATAAAGTGTGTGAATCATGCCGCAGGCCTGGAGTTGCATTACTTTTGTTTGTCTTTACCCAACATATATCTTCACACCTGCGAAATCCCCACTGTAGAAACCCAGCCCCAACCCCATAAAGAGAAAAGCAGACAAAAATAGGATATGATAAGAACCATAACCAACTATTAAAGCTAAATCCCATAGGAAAAATCAATATACAGATAGAATACCTTTTTCAGGCATTGACGACCTTGTTCAAGACCTACACCGTCACCCACCCAAAGGAAGATGAAAGAAGGCGTATCTGCTATAGCCTTACAAAAGAAGCCAAACAAATGAGATGACTAATTCAAAAGATAACAATACTATGCACTTATACAAGGAAAGCAAAACGAAGAAAACATTATATAGTAATATATAACACAAACTAATATATGCAACTAACTTTTAAAGTGGCTCTGATGAGGATAGATCATTATATGATGAGAACCACTAGAAAAAATGCCCTTTATTAGGTAAGCAAAGGCTTTAATACCAAACATACCCTTGCTGCTTCACCACTTTTAATCTTATCCTTTATTAAACCATAGGCCATAGGGTACTCAAATAATTTGTAATTAGCCCAACCAGTTTACTCATAACCATAAAGGCTTTAATTTTCATTTGAAACCTAAGCAGGATGGAAATTCTTAGAGTGAAACAAGTCTAACAAAACAATGGGCGGCACAAACAGAATAATAGCTTACCTCAATCTTGAGATTCATTATTTCTTCAAATGTCCAGTACTCCATGTGGTCAGCAACGCCAGGGGCACGGTGCACATATTCCTCCCATGGGGGATCTACAAGAATCACATCAAATTTCGTTCCAAAGAACTCTGGAGATAGTTCAAACTCTTTCAGGTCACACTTATAATACATGGGAGCAGATGCAGAATTTGCCACAATCTCATCCTTTTTCTGTATAAGCTCTCGAAGCTTAGGGTAATCCTCTACAACATTTGTGAGCTCAAGCTCCCTAATGAAATTCTGTGGCCGCATACCAGTGTCAACAAAATTTTGAGAATAATCATTCTGTTCACCTCTGGAAGGAGCTTTACCAAGAGCTCCACTTTTAGGAGGAACCCATCCCCCTTGAGTTTTATCAGGTGGGGCTCCTCGAGTCATTGATCCTGTGGGATTAAAACCAGGAGTAGAAATGTTGGGGGGAATTCCCCTTCCAGAGCCTGATTGGTTATAATACATTGCAGGATTTGGTGGGTTCCCTATATTAGCAGCATTAAATCTTGGACCTGAAGGACCTGGGGGTACAGGAGACACTGCAGGCGGAACACCTATCATATTCATATCAACTCCTCGAGCTCCAGGCCAGACAGCTGGATTAAATGGTGACATGAAGACCCCAGGGGAAATTGGTGGACCGGGAGCAGGTGACATGCCATGTGAAAGAGGCTGCATTGGCCCAGGCGGCGGCATCCCAAGAGGTCCATAGGGTGATCCCATCATTGGCATTGGCATTGCAACCTGCTGATTGTCTCTCCCAGTGGGCCTCATCCTTCCTCCTCTACCAACCCTGTTCCCTTTAATTCCTTGTGGACCAGCTCTATTAAAGGAACCGGAGTCCAGGTTTCCATATTGAGGTTGTGAGCCTCCACTACTAGAACTTTGGCCACCAGTACTGCGAGCAGATGCAGCACCTTTCTGACCTCTTCCTCTTCCACCATAAAAATCATAGTCATCATCAGCATATCTCTCCTTCAGATCATCACCAGGTGTCCCAGACCCAGATAAATCACTCTTCCTTGTTCTTTCCTCCTGATGATATGCCCATTCTTCATCATTAGCACCTGACTTAGTATTGTACTGCTGATGAGCTTCAGTTCTCTTGGGATGGTTGGACATAGATTCCGATTTCCCATAGTCATAAAACTTGGTCTGGATTTCTATCACATCATAATTGTCATTCGAAATCCCATACTTTGTGGATGTTTTAACAGCTTCCCCCCTGCTGACGTCTTTTCTACCACCAAACCGTCCATGAGGCCTTTCATTGTCCATCCTCTCATAACCATGCCTAGGCAACTCCCAATCTCTGCTGTCATCAAAAGCACTCTCCTCATTTTTTGAATCTTTGTCGGCATTACCCGGCTGCCTCCTTTTCCAGCTTTCTTTAGAACTTTCCCTATCCTTCCTCCTGTCATTCCAAGTATCATCTTTTCCTTTGGATCTATCATCCTTATATCCATCACTTTCATTCTCCTTCCTCTTAAAGCTACCACTTCTTTCATAATCCATCTCAGAGTTCTCCAAATCTTGATGGCGTTTTCCACTCCTCTCCGGCGTCCTCGACCTGTTCGAGTTCCCAGTTTCCCTAGCACTCTTATCCCTAACCCGCACATGTCCATCCTCCTCCACATTCGAGGACCTATCCCAGGTTTCAGCCACATCATAACCAGCAGCATTCCTGTGGTGCCTGGGCTTCTCAACCCGATCCTCACGACCAACATCCCCCACCGACTCCGACTTACCCTTACTCTTCCCTCTCTCAGAATCACCTCTTCTATCATCCTTACTATTAGACTTCACAACTCTATCACCACCAGAGGCCTTACTCTCCCCATGCTCACTCCTAGCAGATCCACTCTTCTCCCTATCCCTAGAACTGTCGCGCTTATCCTGCGCCCTCCTCACACTAACAGCATCAACCTCATCCCACTTCCTCCTCGAACTCCTGGCCGGCTCACCCTTGTCCCGGCCACCACCGCCTTCGCCCTTACCATCATCCTTGCCGGCGACACTCGCGCCGTGCAAATCGGCGTCGCCGTCACGCTTCCTCGCAATCTTATCGGAACCATCCAATTCCCCATCCTCGTACCAACTGCTCAACTTCTCCAGCGTGCTCTCCTCCTGCCTCTTCTTCGCCCCCTGCTTGGAGCGCGAATCGTAATCGTCGCTATCGGTTCTGCTGGAACGCTTCCTCCTGGCGCTTCCGTCGGAACCCTCGCCCTCGTCCCCATTGCTGCCGAACTTTCTAGACCTATCTTTCCTCTTGTCGCTAAACTCCCAATCCTCGTCGTCCCTCTCGCGTTTGGAGAAACCGCGACCACTGTCGCTCGAATCCATTGCAAACTACTGAAACCTAACCTCAATGCGATTCTCTAGAAGGTTCTCGAGGGCGCGAATGAATTGGCCCAAACTACTGACTGATTTGTATGGGGACACGGAAGGAAATATGAGTTTAGTTATTTGAAGAAAATTGAGATGGGAAAAACGAAGGGATTACCGGCGAAGGAGAATGGAGTGTATTGACAGTGGGTGGCGAGCAGAGAGGAGAGAGGGAAAGAAGAAGAGGCTCTTTTCACTTCCTCTTTACCAACGATTCGGCGTCGGAGGCTCTTCGCGGAATCTGAAAATTGCAAAACTGCTTTGGGTTGGGCCGGCCCGGGCCTAGTACCCTAAACTCACGCTTTTCTACCCGGCTTTTGCATCAAGAGCATGCTCCTTTTCTTTTTAGCATTTCTGTAATTGTTAAATACATCTCCCTAAACTCCCAAGCATACTCTCCATTTATTTTTTTCGAAAATGTCTCTTATAACAAATTAATGGCTTGTTTGTTTAAAATTTATTTTCTCATAAAATTATTTTTTAACAAAATAAATAAATTTATTTTTTATGTATTTGTCTAAATTTGTTTCTAAATAAATATTTTTTTATTTTTTACTAAACAACTCTTATTTACTTTTTATAGGAGTACTTTTTTATAAACATTTTTTAAGTTTAAATAAATAACTTAATATCCAAATTAAATATTTTTTGTTTCCTACCTTATTTAATAGATTCAATTTTATTTTTTTATATCTCAAAATAATATTATATAGTCTTTTTTATCTAATTGAAACTAATAACATTAATTATTTTGCCACAATGAAAAAATATATGTATTTTTATGTGACACGTGTGCACAAATTCAAAGTTGTTAGTCTCAATTAAATGAGGAAAAAAAATCATATTGCACCTCTCTTATGTTATTCTCATTAGTGCAAGACAAAGTTGTGAAATATTTTTAAAAAGGTCATATTTTTCAAATTCATATTTTTAGGTTAGTTATTTTATCTATAATTATATTTTATCTTTAATCATATTCTTCACATTATGTATTTGATAGAATATTTGTATTGTTCATATGATTGTAAATTTATTTAAATATAATTGATCTTAAAGACAAAAATCAAGAAAATAAATTATAAGAATATTTTTACAATAATATAGAAGACATTATTAGATAAACAAACTTTTTCCTCACCAGAAGTAGAAAAATAGTGTAACAATGAAAACAAAATAATACTTTTCTCACTAGAAGTGAGAAAATGGTACAAGAAGTGAAAAAATTATTTGAAAATTGAAAAAGAAAATAATAGATAAAGTAATAAATGTGATATAAATATACTATATTATGTTTGGTCCTTCAATATAAATAAAAGCTCTACTAAAAGTGAAATAATTTTGTCAAGATTATATTTATAATGTTGAATGATATTTGGTATAAGAATTGTATATAGTGAAGTGATCCTTAAACTTATTTAGGTTTTTGTGTGATTTCTTAAAAGAATTATGAGTACTCTTACTTTTTAATTTGATATTTTTAATATACTATATATTATGTTTAGTCCTTCGATATGAATAAGAGAACCACCAGAATTGAAATAATTTTGTTAATATCATAATTATAATGTTTAATGATACTTGTGATAAGGATTGTGCACATTGAAGTGATCCATAAACCTATTTAGATTTTTGTGTAATTTTTTTGAAAAGGTTATGAGTACTCTTACATTTTTAATTTGATATTATTCATAATTAAATCGATTGAAATTAATAATTAACTTGTTATATAATTGAATTCTTTTATTATGTTATTAAATCTTAAAGTATTTGGCATTAAATATCGATAGATATAATACTATTTGTTTTGATAATATTATACGTCTATTATTTAAAATAATAGGAATCAATGCATATCAATCATAATCATCCAATTAATATTTGATTATATATGATTTGTATAATAATAATAAAATTTAATAAAAATATGACTAGTTTTTATTTCCTTTGTTAGATACAACTTTTACAGAAGAATAATTTCCTTGATTTTTTAGCATTTTTCCCCTTAAAGTTAGTGACTTTATCCATAAATCTCCTATGTAACGACCCGGCTGGTCACTATACCCGGCACAACACACTAGAAACACCGCACAGAAAAGAACAACTGTATACATATAGAGTCTAGAATATACATATACATGATCCAATATGAAACAGAGTTAAAGTGTACCAAAAAGAAATACAATCATATGCTAGTGTCCCAAGTAGCTCAACAACAAAAGAATCATAACAGAGATCAGCTCCACCGGTCTGCTGAAGACTCACCACAAGACTCCCACTTATCCCTGCTCTGCTCCCATACATAGTATGATCATTGCAGTCCAAACATCATGGAAACAACACAAGGGTAAGCTAGTGTAATTAAAAATCAACATGCAAATATATATCAATATGATAAACAACCGCTACAGCTATCAGCACACCTGTACAGCTTATACCACTCACAGCACGCAACAATGTCAGCACCGTAATGCGACAATATCAGCACTGCTCAACAGCAATAACAACACCACTCAAGTGGCTATAACAGCACCGCAAAGCGGCAACAACATCACCGACTTAGCGGCTATCACAGCACCACATATGTGGCTAATAACAGCACCAAATTAACGGCTATAATATCACACCACTCAGCACAACACAACACAACACAGCACATCACAACACAGCACAACACAGCAATTCAACATACTTATTTTCACGATTCAGCCCAACACTCTATATAGTTCCACCATACTATAAAGTTTTACATTTTAATTCATCAGTTCCAGCTCAACAATATATCCCTATTACAGTCTCGCATCATTTTCTCAGTACTATCACCTAGTCATCACAGCATGTTCATCAAATATAACGTAGTTCAACATATAACATCATTGACTAACAATCTCAGCACAATTCAACAGCCAACATCATATATCTCAATAGCTCCTTTCGCGCCCGGCGCACTCGAGGTCGCGCCCAGCGCAGCTCAACCCGAGAGCACCAGGGGCCATTGCGCCCAGCGCCAGAGTACTCGCGCCCGGCGAGACTCAACCCGAGAGTCCAAGGCTCTCACGCGCCTGACGCAATTCCAAATTGCGCCCAGCGCCTGCCAGACAGAGACTCTAAGGAGTCTCATGCGCTTAGCGAGGCCTAACCCGCGCCCAGCGTGGGAAAGGTAGAGACCTACCAAGGTCTCGCGCCCGGCGCAATTCGCATTGCGCCCAGCGCCCTCTTGGCAGAGACACCCAAGGAGCCTCCGCGCCCAGCGAGTCCAAACGCGCGCCTAGCGCGGCACCATAGTACCCCAAACATGTCACCATTGATATCGCGCTCGGCGCAGCCCAAGTCTCGCCCAGCGCGAGCCAACCAGAGACTCCCATTTGCAAGCTCGCCCGGCGCACACAGCTTTGCACCCGGCGGGCTTGCCTAAATAGAGTCTCCTGGTGGTCGCGTGCCCGGCGCGAAGAACAGCGCCCAGCGCGAACTCATCAGTAACTCTTCCCAAGTTCAAAAAATTTCCAAAATCTGCAAAACTTAACATCAAATTCACATGCAAACGGTTCAAAGTGTCACATTTTCATCAAGGAATTCGAAAGTACCAACTTTATGTGCATGCAACAACAAATCAAAGAAAATCCCAAATTTTTGACTCACAACCCCACAAAACCCAAAACCCCCAAATTTCAGCAACTCAACCAAGCAAAATCTAACACCAGCAGCCAAATGAGGTTCTAAACTCCCCTTTTTCTAGCCAAAAACACAGCAAGATTACTAACTTCCCTTACCTCGGTTTGAAGATCCGAGCTTCGGGAAGGAAAATGAAGAAGAAGACGAAGAAGAGCTTGAACGGGAAAAAAAAGAACGCCCACACCTCAGCAACTCCAAACTCTAAGAATCAACACCTTCAAACCAAGGTCACCACAAGGAATCAGGAATTGATGGGGAAGAAGAGTGTAAGAGAGTGAGAATGAGTTGAGAGTTGAGAGGAAGAAATGAGATATCAGCCACGGGTCTCACATCCTAACTATAAATTTTTGACTTACAAAAAATTAAATCTCTGATTTACAAGAAAAATTTGAATCCCTTAAATATTTCAACAATTATTTTATGCTAGAAATAATTTTAATTATCTACTCTAGTCGTGCATACATGTATAAGTTCATCTCCAATTCTTGGTCCTTTAATACAATAATATCGAATAAAAAAATGCACCCACAAAAGTAGAAGAAATGGATGTTTTTCATTTTTCACTAAGATGTTCGATAAGTATAAAAAATAAAAAAATAAAAAAAAACATGAAAAGCTAATTGGGAAAAAAAAAAACTAAGTCTTTTCATCTTTGCTTAATTGAAACATACCAAAATTACAGTGCAATATAAACCGAATGAATTTGTGAGACCACTGGCCATAATTTCACCAAGAACTAAAAAAAAAAAAAACGAATTTGAGGATTTGACTCAAGGAGGTGGATGGTATGTAAGATTATGTAGAATCCCCCATCTTATCAATATTAATGTCTTGTCCACCCCATATTCGCATGCGTTCAGATGTTTGTTCCACCTACAATGGAGAAGAGTAAAATGACTAAGAGCAACTACAATATATGAATTCATTCAAAACTTATTAATACATAAATGCAAAGCATGGAACACCCTCCACGACAATTTTTTTTTTCTTGCAATTAAATTATTATCAACTGCACTAAAAAAAATTATGTTTTTCCTTTTAATATTTTAAAAAGTTATTGTGAATGCAAAATATCACTTTTCTATGGTACTAGAAGTAACATGCCTACAAAGATTTCAGAAAGAATGATAAGCATTGCCTACCTCTTTATTCCAATTGGTTTTGTAAAGTATGACCAACAGCATCGAGGTCTGGAGAAAAATTCCACATATCATACCACCCCAAAGTCCCTAAATGGGAAAAAAAATCATAATCATTAGGGAGAATTGTCCTTTCTCTCTTTCTCTCCTTTATATTTGCATTTCCTTTTTTTTTCTATCTATAGAACAATTAATGAGTATTGGAAAAGATTCAATTATCAAAAACAAAAATTTAAAGAAGTATCAACATACACATACAGTTTTTTACTCAACAGTAAACAGTTATACATCAAAAAGCATTTTTTATTATTTTCCTTGTCTAATTTTTACATATCAAAATAGAAATAAGTTGACAATTTTTACTAAATATATCAATTTTATGAAAGGAGAATTTAATGGAAATACAAATAGAGTAGTAGTATATTACCTCAACTCCCAAATTTTCTGTATAACCAAGAATGAACCCTAGTGGAAGCCCAAATAAGTAATAACAACCTATGTTGATATAGGCCACCAGGGCCTGCCACCCACCTCCAACTGCAACACCTGTAGGAACGATTTCAAAGTTGTTAATAGGACAAGGAAAATGGATGAATTGTTACCTTTCATAAAGTAGACAAGGAAAATGATAATCAATTTGTACCTGAGATTACAGGTTGAACACTGTTAAGAACCATTGTCACAGCAAGGAGGAATCCTAGTTTGGAAACGGCCTCATGCAAAACCTTGCTGTTTGTAAAAATGATGGCAAAATAGTCTTTAGTCACCAAAACAATAGCCATGAAAATGATTCCCAAAAGAAGTGACTGAAACACTATCACGTAGACAGAGTATTTGGCAGCTCTTGGACGTCCAAGCCCAAGTTCATTGGAAACTCTGACACTGAAAATAAGAAGAAAAACATAAATGAACCATACAATAGCAGAAAAGCTGCAGTGCAACTAACCAATACTAACAATGTGAAGTTGTCAACATATTTTCTAAAGTAGACGCACAAAAATCAAACCCAATACAAGCAACTTTTATATTTATTAATCAAAAAATGGGATAAACAATAACAAGACATTAATTTTGGATCCATACCTGACAGCTGCATTTACTCCAATAAAGATCATGCTTTCCCACCCGTTGATATTCATGCTATAAAACATCATTGAATGTATTAGCAAAAAGGTTACCATACATACATTATATGAATAAATTAAATACAAATGCATAACTATGGACTATTAATCAGATGGAAGAATGAATTACAAGGTTGTGTGAATTACTAGTATAATCAATACATCTAGCAAAATCACTAAAGAGGTATTGTAATTGAGTTTATTCCCTTTATTATATTCCTTGGTTTTAATTTTGACCTTACTCAACTCACTCACTTTATCACTATTTGATGTCAATATGAAAATTGTTTTAGGAAAATGACAGTGACAGATACAAAGTTGCCTGGGAATAAACTCGTTAGTTATTTAACTTGATATTAATTGCATGATAGAATGTACTTTTGTTCCCTCGATAATCTCAAACTCTTGGATGCAAGGAATTACACAAAGTGAAATGATTTTAAGATTTCTTATTTCATTTAAACCATATACTTGGATTTATATCTATGCAAACCACTGATAAAAAATAATCTATGCAAAGTTCATTTAACATATCCTTTTATGTATATCAATGCAAAATGCAACATACACATGTCACTCTAATTAGTTGGGACTACTTGGCCTTTTTTACTTGTGTATGGGGATGAAAGTATGATCATACCATATAGAGAGAGAATCAACAGCAATCACTGCATTATTAAGGTGGCCAGCAAGAACAATGACGCTCATCATATACCAAACTTCAAGACAAAGCATCACAGCTGATGCAAGAGAAAGCCTAACAAAGGCCCAAATATCCTTGAAAGCCAACCATGTCAATCCATTCCATCCATCCTTACACCAGAACACAACATAAACAAGTTGAGATATTGTAATCCCCCAACTTGTTATATCAAATGCCAAAGCTGCACCAGTTAAGCCTAAACCCAACACATAGATTAAGACCCATAGCATCCCAATGTGCAAAATTAAAGCCACCAACCCAATCCATGCAATGACGTTAACCTTGCTCTGAGCTTGAAGGAACTTTTGTGTTGGAAAGTTGAAGGGAAGGGAAAGAAATTGCGGAATTACTAAAACAGAGAAACTCCCAGCAAGATCAGCTATATCCGCTTGTTGACCAATAAGCTTCAAAATGGGAGCAGCAAAAATGTATATTGGCAAGAGCAAAATACTGGTCATGAATAAAATTACCCACGAGCGTTGCATATAAACACCAAGCAAATGAATCTGCCCAGCTCCATAAGCTTGGCCGCAAAGCGTCTCAGTTGCACTCCCCATCCCAAGCTACATGTTTTTTTAAATACCATTAGATTATGTTCAAACATTATATTAAAAAGTACAATTTGGCTTTCATAGCACAAGCAAGTTTTCTTGCAATATCCTTTCAGATATACACAACACAAAACCACTTTTTTCTTGCTTATATTACAAAAATAAAACAATTAAAACTCAAAAACCCATAACCCCTAGAATAAATCTTTATCCATAAGATTAAAATAGTAACAAACATTTGCCTAGTTTCACCTTAAATTTTTTTAAGAAAGTATATTTGAGTATAATTCAATCTTACAAAATCAGTTTATAAGATGAATTATACTTTGTTCTACATTTTTACATACATCACTAGGCACCAGAAATCTCTACCAAAACCCCCTTTTTTTTTTCTTTTTTCTTTTTTTTCTGTATGAGACTGCATGTATCTTTTTATAGGAGGTCATTCTTGCTCAAGTTGGGTGTCACAATCTAGATAGTGATTTTGATAGAAAAAGAGAGGAAATGAAAAACAATTGAAAGTGTAAGTCATGAATAAACATGAGAGTAGCAAAAGAACATAAATAGACAGATGGGGTGAGAAGTTTTGTAGAGAAGAGACAAACCATGAAGCCAAAAGCAAAAGTGCCGATGACAGAGTTAATAAGAGAGACAGCAGAGAGCTCAATGTCGCCGAGGTGGCCAACGAAGATGTTGGTGACGGAGTTGACACCGAATTGGCACCAAATGTTGAAAACAATGGGCAACGCAATCTCCCACATTCTCTTGGTTTCAATCCAGAAAACCTCCCTCGCCTCCTTCCACTCTTTCACCGCCGGGTAGTCCTTGTTCTCCGTCGTCCCTGCGCCTCCTAGCAGGGGAGCGTCCATCTCAACCACCATACACGTGGAAGCCTCTAAGGGCTGTTAATTAGTTGCACACACTCTCACGATCTCAAATCTCACACACTCGTGCCTACACCTCCAAAATCTATTGTACACAAATTATTAACATTGCAAAAATTAATCAAGTTCAGGACTCTCGTGGATTTTTTTTAGTCTTGGTATAAAAATATCGCAGCGTCCTCGGATTAACTTTCGGGGAAACTTGAGGTTATCTTTTTCCAACCATTGTATTTTACAATTTTGTAACATAACATCTAATTCTTTTCATCTAAACAAGTACTTTACTCCAAAGTCGATTTTTATTTTTTTAAGGTAAAGGGACGATGTTTCAGTTTAATACAAAAAGAGTCTATCAATTAAAAAAGGTGTTTAAAGAAAACTCGCAGGTGTTATCAAGTACCAACACACTTTTTTTATCATTTTCTTTTTAACATACTTTTTTTAAAGAGTATAAATTCATGGACTTAAAAAATAAAAAATATATGAGTACCCTGTCTAACAAATTTTAGGTTTGGAGTGATTATTTATTTATTTATTTAAGTTTTAAACTCACATAATTAATTAATTCTTTATTTTACTTTTAATTCTAAACAATAAAATTGTTAATTAAATTTAATAACTAAGAAATTTTATCATCTCACTCAGTGATAATCTTCAATCGGTATTTTGTAACATTGTTACAAATTTAATCTAAAAATTTAATTTTAAAAACATTTATAGAAATTGTTAAACCTTCAAAATGATTAATCTTAACTTTAATTTTGTAACTACAAGCAAATAAAAAAAAAAGAGATTATTATTTTTATAATATTATTATATTATTTTATAATACATTACAAATTTATATTAATTTAAATTATTTTAAATATTAGTTTAACGAGTCAGTTGATAAGCCTACAAACCAGTTCGATCTGAGTCTATTTGCCCTATTAGACTTCATAAGACAGACTAAAATAATCTCATTCAATTTAGGTCATCCTTAACACCTAACATATCCTAGTTTTTTAATTGACGAGGCCAATCCATTGAACATGACCTAAATCGATAGGTCTACATATAATTTCACATACTAGTAAATTAATTATTAAAATATAATAAATATATTACTTAATTATTTTAAAAATATATAAATAAAATATTAACATGGTCAAAGTTAAGACATCGACCTTATTAATTTTTTCCCAACCATGGGATTGGATGAGATTCACATATTTATTATAATTAGTATTTTAGTTTGTATATTTTACGAATAAAGTATTTATTATATATAACTAAACTTTACAACAAATTATACATACAAATAATATATTTAAATTATTAAAATTTAATTTTTAAATAAATATGATAAAAAAAATAAATTAGAAAAAAAAATTATAGAAATCTCTAGATCTAAAAATACTTCCAAATAATTCTTAAAATGTTGGTTGTATTTAATATATAGAAATTAAATTATATTATTTTTATTTAATAAAATAGATTACGTGGGAAAGAGAATATTAAAAAGTTTATTACTAATATTTCTTTACTTTTACTTCATTAATGGAAGTTGAAATATGTAATTGTGAGATTTGCTTGCAATTATTGATTTGTGGTTCCTTTTTTCTTATTTAATTATTTATTTTGTCTAATTTTGAAAAGAAGGAAAAGATACAAAACATTATCTTTAACTATCAATCACTTGGGTGTGACGTTTTATCCTTCAAAAAGTGGATATGGTTTAAAAGTTTATATAGTTTTATATTTCAGAAATAGTATATCTAAACTATTAGCTTTTGAGACGTAATAAAATTGTATTTAATATTCTTATTTTACTTTTTTTTTAACATAAACGTGTGATAAGTATTTGAGTAATATATACAAGATATTTAAATTAGAATTATTTTATCGTTATTGTATTTTCTATGAATAAAATAAATATATTTTCATTAAATATCATTAAACATGAAATTATCGATCTCTCAACGTCTCGGGCTACCCCACTGTGCCGTGCGAATGTATTACCTAGCACCAAATCCTTCGATCAATATGGGTAGTTGGGGAGGTTGAAAGGTGGGTTTGAAAACTTAATCGGAGAAAAAATTGGTATCTGAAAGATGAAAATTTATATTATGTGTTAACACGAGATATTTCTAGAGGTATAAAAATAATTATGTCAATTCAAGAGCTGGGATAAAGGTGGTTAACGGATCAAGATAGTACTTCCAATTCATCTGAATTAATTGTAATGAAAATTGAATTATACGATTTTTTCTGAATTAATAATGAGATTAGCCAAAGAAAATAAATAATAATTATTTAAACGAATATACCATTAACAAATTTTAATTAAAATACATCACCCCTTTAATTAGGTTTTCTTTTTATGAATATAGAAAATATTATAAAACGACAACAACGAAGATGAAATTTAAATTCTTATATTCATGTTAATTAACTTCACCTTCAAACTGATCCCAGTTGTTTACCCTTTATGATAAAAAAAATTCAGATACGGCAATTTGCTTGAAAGATGGCTAATGACATAAGATAAAGGAATTGTTGAAGCACGTACGAAAATTTACTCATTGACAAACTGTTAGAAAGCATTTTATTAATGGGAGAATAGGGTGATGGTTCAATAAAAAAGAAAGTCAGAAAATACATACATGATGAAGTAGGTGTTGGCAACTTTCCGGCAACTAACAACAATCTTTCAGGCATGCAGCAAATAAAAAGTAGCAGATAGAGTTAGGGTAATGAAAAACACACAGAGAGAGAGAGAGAAATTCAAGAATGAAGGTAACGTGATGTGTGTGGCAGATTTAAACCCTGGGAAAGGAAAAGAGTCTAGTTTGGTAAAATGAACGATCTAAGATATGCCACGTCATTTTTGTACCTTCTTTATTCATTATTAAATACCAAGATATTTTGTGTCTCTAATAGTTACACACGTACAAATATTAAAAGTTATATATAATTATTTAAAAAATATAAGAAATGTTTTTTTATTTTTTATTTTAAGAAATATAATGATCAACTAAAAAAATGGAAACCAAAAAAGTAATTATCAAAATATATCTTTTTATAATAGATATAAATTATAAAAAATATTTTTTATTATAAAAAATATATTTTTTAAATATAAACAAATTTTAACTATTTCTATTTCATTCAATAATATTTTTTTAGCACATAATTTTTCAATTATAGTACTTCTCTTAATATTTATAATAAAAATAATTTTAAAAAAATTATAAAATTAGTAAAATTTAATCCGAATAACTAGTTTTGTTGATATAGAATGGAGAACAGGATTGGTCCGGCATGATTGGAATTGATAAGTCCTTTTCTTCAATCAAAAGTTAGATGTAAGCTTACCTTGTCCTTTTCAATTCCATTAAGCGCGGTTCACAATTATTTGTTGAAAAAGTTTACAAAATTATAAAAAAAAATAAAAAAAAATCAAACATAAACTTTCAGAATTGAAGTAGAATACTATTATTTTTATTTTTCAATTATTTGATTAATGTTTTATAACATTATTTTTTTAATACATTAAGAATAAATTCAAATTTTTAGGAATGATTTATAAAATATCAAAATAATTATAATAATTAATAAAATTTATTATCTTCCATTATCAATATCTTAAGTAATAAAAAGATAAAAGTAAAAAAGTTATACGTGTAGTAAAAGAGGGTAAAAAAAATTAAAAATCTGCATAATGAGTAGAAAAAGATAAACAGAATTATATCTTGTATAGCAAATAGTCAAAATAAATTTTCAGTAAATACATGAAAAACAATTCAATTTCAGCATGTGTTTATTTTAATAATATATCTAGTAATAACCTTATACAGGTGAGAGACTTTTTTTTTTTTCATCACCCAATAATTCACCAAATTCTATATAATTATTTGTAACAAAACATCTTTCTTCTCTATCTACACTCGTTGTGTTATATATATATATATATATATATATATATATTCTCTAATTTAATCTACTTTATTATTTTAATGCATTGTGTAGAAAGTAAATTTGATTTTTATCAGTAAATATTATAAAAATAATAATATAGTTTCAACATAAAACGTAATACATATATTAGAGTGTTTTTAAATTTGATTTTCGTCAATATTAAAATAATGCTTAACTAATAAAAGTTTCAATTCCTAAGTGTATATTAATATTTGATTGTCAACTTTAGAATGATGTGTGAATAATATTTATAAATAAAAAAATATAGTATCATTTCAATTTTATTGTTAGTTCAATTGTAATGGTTAAAACAATTTTAGTATTTTAAAAAATTAGAATTGATAGTGTACTTATTGGAAAAAGTATTCATCCAAAGTTTTCAATCCTTGACCTTTAGATGATGGTTATACCCAAAAAGGATTATGATGCTTATGTTAGCGGATGTATAGAGTGTATCTTATAATTTCAAGAATAAATGTACCTTATGAAGGTGAAATATAATGGTATATATAGGGGAAAATGTTACCATTAGTTGATGAGACATTTAAGCACATCCAATATCTTTTATTGTCGCATAATTGTCGAGCGTTACTTTTTGCTAGACTTAATCGTGGAGGAAAGTGTTTGGCATGTCAAGGACTACTTGATTTTAAGAGTAGCAGCTATTCACCCTGCCCATAAGTGTCTGGATACTTACCATGTAGATGACGGAATACCCTCCCATAATTATAGTGAGAACTAACAAGTCCTCGGCAAGGTGGTTTGAGACCTATATAATATATTAGCCCCCTAAGCCTTTAACTCTTTTGGGAAAAATGTTCATTGTCTTCAAGGAGGGAAAATTTTTTCTTTCCCACTTTTGAATTTTGAAATTATTATTTTTCTAGGTATGACATCATGTGGGATATGTAACGTCAAAATCACCTTAGGTGTATAATGATGACCTATTAGTTACTTTAGGAAGGTTTTGGAAACCTAAGTGTGAGGCATTGCAGTAATAGAAAAAAGTTGGTTTCATATCATTTGTTGACCTTTAAGAGATCCAACGGTTCAAAGAGGTGCAACGCCTCATTTCTCGGAGCTCTTCGCATCTATAAATAGGATCCCTTTGCCCTCATAAGGATTTGCCTACAATCTTTATCTTTTGAATACTTTAAGCACTTCTCGTCATCATGTCTCTCTCTTAACAACCAAGAATTGAGTACGTATCAAGTATGCCCCCGTTTCTCCCCTTTTATGAATTCAAGTGATAGAGTAAAATCTTCTATCTTAGGCAGGATAGGCAGGATGAAAGTAAATGTCATTTCTTCTAGTTCTTCATCTGTATCTTATACTCCATTTTCTTCTTCTACCTTGACCACCCTTAATGCCTTAGTTTTTCCCCTTAGGATGAATATGCCTAAGTCGATTGCCAAAGTAAACCAGGCCATTAAAATCGTTTAGGCTGAGAGTAGGGTGGACGATTCGAGGGGATTAGTTATTCCCGAGGATAATTTGGACTGATCATGGATATGGAGGAATACTCAAGCTATATTTTAGATAAGGCTTTTGAGTTCTCCTCTAAGTACGTGGATGAAGCATTGCTTATTTTCTTTCTCTAAAATACCAATAACATACAATTCGAGAAAGAAGACTACATGAAAGCTCAAATATCCTTAGGCAAACTTATTTTATATGTATAAGTGTTTCTTTTGACCTCTCAGTGTTTGAATTCTCTTCAATGACTTCACTATTGGGGTGTTGTCGGTCTTGAACAAGTCCCGACACAACTCCCCCCCTGA